AAGAGCTCCAGAGGTGCTGAAGGACATGGGTTGGGTTGTGATTCTAAATAAGGAAGGAGGTGAGGGGGAGCCAGGAGGCTCACTGTGGGAGAGGCTTCCCGACCATGGGAACCCCCAGTGCAAAGGCCCTGAGGCAGGAGTGTGCGTGGCACGCTCGGGGAAGAGCCAGGAGGCCTAGGCTAAAGAGAGCAAAGGGGGAAGAGGAACAGAATGGCCTGAAGCAGGTCCTGTCAGGACTTGGGGTTTTCCTTTGAGACACAGCTGTTGAAGGGTTTCAACCAGTGGAGGGTGTAGCATGCTCTGGCTTCTGTTCAAAGGCATTGCTCAGGCTGCCATGCAGCGCACAGACTATGGAGGCTAGGGGCAGCAGCAGGAAAGCCAAGGAGGAGGCGTGGGAGGAGGAAAGTGAAATGGAAGAGGCAAGTGGGTTTCCGAGGCCGAAGACAGAGACGTGGGAGTGGTGAGCAGAGAACTGGCATTGGCAGGTAGGAGCACTTAGGACATTCATGGATGTAGATAAAAAGGAGAAAAGGCCCAAATACAAGCCCTGGGGTCCCCGGACGCAAGAGGATAGGGAGAGGAAGGAGGCGGACCTGGAGCCCCAAGTCCAGCCAGAAAGTAGGGGTATGGTTTGGGGAGCACTGAGTGCCCCGTGAGGGGGTCCCCAGGAAGTAGAGGCAGAAGAGAACAGAGTGAATTAAAACGGAAGCCGTGAGTACCAACAACATTCTCCTGGCTGTTGCCTGCAGCTAGAGGGGACTTTGGCACCCAGAGAGTCTCTTTCAGGATGGGACAACTGAGTAACGTAGACAAGGGAGAGGAAGATGGGTGCGGAGGCCGCAGGGGTGGGGCACCCAGGCAGTAAAGGAGGAAGTGGGGGATGGCCGCACATCGGGCCTCAGTCAGGGTGAGACAGGAAGCTACAGGACGGCCTCCCAGCCCCAACGCAACCTGAGCCTCTTTGGTCTTCCCAGATGCCTCAGCCACAACCGTAGGGGTCATCTTTACTGGAGAGTGCTTCTCATGTCTCTTTTACTTTTAAATTATGCTGCTTGAATGTTTGGAGTCCCCCCCAAGAAGGTGGGGGAGGGCAGGGCCTGACTCAGTAGTCAGAGATAAGGGGCCTCAAGGAGGTCTGCCACACAGGTAGGAACCTGGAAAAGACAGGCGGACCAAGCAGGTAGAATCTCCGCCTTCAGTGGTTGTGGATCCTGAGGGGCCTCCAGGGACCCAGCATACGTGGCAGAAGCAGTGGAGGTGAGAAAGGTGTCACCGTGAAGAGGTTGGGAGCTAGGGGGCCACAGGACACACTGATGTTTGGCACTGGGTCAGGGGTTCAGATGCCTCTGAAGTTCGGCTGGAGCCCTGCACTGGGACAGGAAGACTAGGTGAGGGCCAGGGTTGGCGGGGGCAAGGCTGAGGGTACTCCTCAGCCTTCTTCAATGTCCCATTAGCCATCGGAGGAGAGGTGAAGGAGCAGCAGGTACATAGACCTAGCATGCCGGAAAGGGGTGGGCCGTGGCTACAGCCACAGGTAGAGGTGGTACAGAGAGTATATTTGACATCATAGCGATCTGTGGGCTGTAGGCGGCATTGACAGACAGCCTTGAGGGTGGTGAGGTCCCTTGGGAGTGGTAGAGATGAAGGGGTTGCCCTGAGGACCCCACCCTGGGGGGTCTGGGACCGTCCCAGGCCAGGAGAGGAGCCTGAGGAGGCAGTAAGGGCCGTGTGCTGGGGGAGGGTGCTCGTTCCACTCAGTCTTGGTCATGCGTCTGCTGGGACACACTAAACTCCACTGTGGGGACGTCCCTCGGATCCCATGTACGAGCTTGGCCCCCAAGGGCGAGTATCTCTTAGAAATGTTTGCCGCTTCTCACTGAGCCGGTGTCTCAGGACTTGACTGTGCCCTTCAGTGCTGAGTGGCCTGAAAGCACCCCATCATTAGACAAATGCCACCCACTTTGTTAATAGCCCAAGATTTGAATGCAGCGGAATGGAACCTGCAGGTCAGCTGTAAGAGACTCTCAGGATGGTACAAACCCAACTGAAAGCCCCAACGAGCAGAATGTTTGAGCAGCCAGCCCCGGCACCCCCTGTTGGTGATTAAGCACCCGCTCTGTGCCATGTTCTGGCAATAGGCAGCAAACAGGCAGACACCATCCCTGCCCCAAAGCCAGTGACAGGACAGACATTAAAGTGAGTCTGATTACACCCACGAGGTGTACCGCGAAGGAACCTTCCAGACTGGGATGGCAGAAGCTGGGAAGGGAGGGTTCACTGCCCTTTTTGGGCAAAGACTTTGGAGTTTAACCAGGTGCAGGGAGACCAGAGGGTTTGAGCAGAGACCTGGCCTGGTCACGTGACCCAGGTCCAACTGAGGGGACCAGCTCAGCAAGGGGAAAGGGTGTAACCGGAGTCACCAGATCATGGCTGGCAAAACTACCACAAAAGGCTCCTAGAGTCAAGGGCAGCAGCTTACAGCTTGCTCTCCTTTCTGTGACTTCAGGAATGTGGCCAACAGCTGGAATAGGTATTCTACCACCCCCATGTAGCCACAGCTGATGTTCTGGTGGCTCCCCCATAATTCTGGCACCAGAAAAGGCACAAACAATGAAGCCATATCTGCCATAGCTGCAAAAAGTACATTCTGCTTCTTTTTATTAAAAATATCAAACGATTCTCAATGTCTGTGTTAGCCTTATCACCAAAGCTAATCTGGGGGAATTAAGGAACTAAGTGCAAATAGTTGGCCATCTGCAATCTGGAAGATGTAGCTTCACCAAATTCAGAGAAAATCCTAACTGAATTTAATATACGGAGGTAGAAATTTTCAATTTTATGGAGCTCTTTGGCTCACTATTTTGCATTTCAAAGAGTGTGAGGTTTGCCTGGTTTAAACTAATTTAGGAGCGCTGTGCTTGACAGAGCAATGCCTAGGGACCAGATGCTGGAGGGTTTAAAGGGACTCATTGTCAACAGCGTGATTCATGGTCTAAATGAGGGGGCAGCAAAAGTCTGCAAAAAAGGGCTTTGCAGACCCAGTCTCTGTCCCAACTATACAACTCTGCCCTTGGATCTCAAAGACAGCCATAGGCCATGCATGAATGAAGGGCATGGCCGCGCACCAATAAAACTTTATTTACAAAACCAGGCTGAGGGCCAGAATTACCCCTTGGGCCACAGTTTGCCAACACCGTCTCTAAACCAAGAAAACCAAATCCTAGAACCTTGGATCTAGAATGATTTTGGAACTCATGTTGTGTTCAGCCACTCACAAAGGGAGGGGCTGGCTTCCCCATCTCAGCCAGCTAGCTTGAGTGGGGCCCAGCAGAAGCCTTCCTATTGAGTCTGGCTTCTAGAAGCCAGAGGGAGCTCAGGCCGGCGGCCAGAAAGTGAGCAAAGAGAAGCAGCAACTCTGTCACTTGTAAGCCCAGTGAGACTTGAGCATACACGTAAGTGAAGGTGGAGCACCAGTGAAGGGAGGGGTCAGAGAGACCCCGAGGCTAATTCTGGGAGCAAGGTATTGCAGGAGGGGCAGGGGTCAGGGAGCCACCATGGCTGGGCAACAGGACATTGTGGGAAGCTCTTCCCTGTGGGGAGTTACGCTAACCTGAGGTCTGCAGATGCTAGTGAGATGGCCAGGGAACAAGGTGTAGAAAAGCCTGAGTGGAGGGACTGAAAGGCGTTGTCTTGGAGAGTGAAGAAGAGGAGGCACAGCATGAGAAAGGCTGGAGGGACAGGTAGCCCCAGACTGCGAAGAGCCTCTGGTGATAGGAGATGTGTGGAGAGAAGGGAAATGATGATCCAATCGGATGCACCCAGATGGGGGCTGGGAGGCTGTAAAGAGACATAAGGAGTCACCGCAGTGCCATGCGTGGTCAGGATCATGGCAGCTGCAGGGCAGGGCTAGTGGGTGCAGGTCAAAAGTGGGTCCATTTTCAGTTATGGATGCCTCCAGGTGGGGGACCGAAAAGCTCTCAAGCCTGGAGCTCTGAGGAAGGGCCTGGGCCACGGTCCCTGGCTATAGCCCGAGGAGTCCCAGAGCCATGTCCAGGGCTAGGAGGTGGACCTGGCAGTATGGTCAGAGAGGAAGAGGGCCAGGGCCATGCCAGGACTCTGGGGCACCCTGCGACAGAGGAAGGAGCAGCGGAGGAGATGGGGCCAGAGTAGCCAGGAAGGTAGGAGGGGGGCCAGGAATGGGCAGTGCCAGGGAAGCCAGGAGAAGTTTCCAGAAAGAGGGGCGGTTGTCTGTATTGAGCGCCCCTGAGAGATCAAATAAGATGGAGACGCATCTTATGTGATCTGCTGGACTCAGCAGGGAGACTGATGGCCAGATGGGTCTGGGCATGATGGGTGCTGGCTGTGGCCAGGAGAGCTGGGCAGGCAGAGAGGAGGTCCCTAGAGAATGCGGGGAGGGAGACCCGCTCAAGAAAGTTTGCCAAGGCATCCATAGGATAGGGACTTTCTCTTACCAGAAAGTAGAAGAACTTCCTGGTAAGAGAAAGTCAAGGGCCCACTCTCCAGCATTCTCCCTTTTCAGATCATCTTTCTGTTCTACCAGATTGGAATTCAGATTTGGCAGAGACCCCAGGGACCACCTAAGCCAGTCCTCCCGCCCCCCGCCCCGTCAGGGAAAGGGGAGGTAGCAGCCAAGAACCCAGTGCTTCTGTCACTCTTGAGTTCCAGAATATCTGCCTAGATCAACCTAGAGAAAGCCACTGCCACTTGTCCTGCATGTGGATCAGTTGACAAGACTGAGACCCAAACGGAAAATCCTTACCACAGCCAGGCAGAGCCACCCCAACTGCTCCATTCTCAAGGATGAACATTTGTCACACAGTGAACCCCCTGCCATTGATGTGGGTGGAACTCGCCAGCACCAGTCTGCCATTGATTGTCTCCTTGCTTTCTTCTTTCCTTCCTTCCTTCCTCGCTCCCTTCCTCCCTCCCTCCCTCCGCGCCCCCACCTCGGGCCCCTGTCCGTCCACCTCCCGCTCCAGATCCGAGTGGTGAAAGCATTCCGTAGCTCGCTCTATGAAGGCCTGGAGAAACCGGAATCCAAGACTTCCATCCATAACTTCATGGCAACGCCCGAATTTCTGATCAATGACTACACCCACAACATCCCGCTCATAGATGATACGGACGTGGACGAGAACGAGGAGCGCCTGCGGGCCCCCCCACCCCCATCCCCCAACCAGAACAACAACGCCATAGACAGCGGCATCTACCTGACCACGCATGGCACTAAGTCAGCTACCTCGTCAGTGTTTTCTTCCAGACCCGGGAGTCCGCTCCACAGCGTGGAGACGTCCCTCTAAGCATAACTGCTCTCAGCACGCGCACCCCTGCACACACAGGCACCCAGGTGGGACGCACAGGCCTGCAAGGAGGGCACAGCCAAGGCGGCTGAAGACGTTGCTCACACGGCACTCGCAAGAAGCCAATCCACTCAAGGCTTCTTACCTAGGACCAAGGAAATGGAGGAGGAGGAGGAGGAGGAGGAGGAGGAGGAAGGAAAAACTAGAGAACAAGAAGAGCTGTGTTCCCCCTTTTTTTCTATCAAAGCTTTTTTTTAATGAACACTACAAATGCCACCAGATGTTTGTCATTTGGGCTGTGCAGTGGGGTAGGCAGTTGGTTTTGGCTCATTGGGAACTTCGTTGCACCCACTGGAGAGCAATTGGATCAACAGGTCCTATACAAAAGGAAAACAGGCCAAGCGCTGCTTCACAGGGTTGGGAAGGATGCCCCTAACCAGACAGCCCACCAGAGGGAGCCGCCTGCAAACATACCTGAACCGCCAAGCACCCCATCCCCAGGACACATGTGCAGTCTGTGTGTGTGTGCGTGTGCGTATAGACATATACGTACATATATGACCAGATGCATATTTAAAGAATAAGGACCTATTTATTGGCATGATATTTCCATTCCTCTTATCAGGTGTTTTTATTTTGAAATTTCATTATTTATTGTGGCAGGGTTTTGTTGTTGTTGTTTTTTTTTCAGGGAACTAGACTGCAAGAATATCTTTTTGATTGCTTGCCCCATCCAGGACTCCCCTGCTTCTCCCCTCTGTTCTCCCTCCTCCTGGCACCATTCCTGGCAATGTCGCCACTGAGAGTCCCAGTAGAAGGTCGGGGGAGCGAAGGACGAGGTTAAAGTGGAAACAGTTACAATTGGAACATTTGCACTTTGAGACCCCTGCGTATAGGGGGAGGGGGGAACCATTTCGATGGAATTTTTATTTGAAAGGAAAATACCAAAGTATCAATGTAAACGATCCCTTCCAGGAGGTAGAAGGGGAGTTTTGCTTTCAGTTTCCTTTTGTTTCAACTCCAAGTGCTGAATCCTGGCTGGTGGGCTTTCTTTGTTTTCAATTCAACCTCAAGAGCATGAAGCTCTGCCCCCTGCCACCTCTGACCCCATGGGGCGACCCAGAATGGGGCGGGGAGTGACAAGAGTCAGAAAGAGCGTGGAGGATGAGGTACCATCAGTACCCGAGGGAGGCTGACCCGGCTGCGATGTAGACCCCAGCCCTCTCGGCACCTCCAACTGGACTCCCACCCTTTGCTTTGGCAAATGCCAACAAGTTGTTGCTGAGGTGCCCCTAAAGCGACTGGAAAAGGTTCTCAGTCACAACCTGCCAAAGCACTCCTCTGACCCCAGTCTTCTCATTCAAAGACAACTATGACCCATGACAACATGGATCTGTGTCTGCAGCCACCTACAGTGACATCGAGGAAACAGATGCTGAAGCAAAGCCCCTGGGAGCCATGGCACCTCGCAGCTGTTGCTCTAATCACACCTGTGGCTCTTTGTCATGAGTCTGAAAGGCTGCGGAGGTCAGCTCCACCACATCAGCTGAGTGCCTGGTCTGCAGGTGAGGAGAGCCGGCCCTGGGCTCTCCAGATAGTTCCCTCGGGAGCCTGTCTTTGCATTGTGGGCACCCAGTGTGCCAAGCCTCAGTTTCCCACAAATGCACCTTAGCCAGGAAGGGAAATGCAAAAAAAAAAAAAAAAAGCAGTTCTTTTACCATCTGAATTCATCTGTCTCACATTTTTCGGGGAGGCAGTGGGGTCTGACCATGGCTCCTCCCATGTGCCTGTTGCTTGGGCCTGGGGCTGAGCCACTGGGGGTCAGCTGAGAACTGAGGGACATGGGGTCAGAATGGAAAGTGCGGGAGCAGATGGGCACACTCAGCAGCTGAGCAGCTGGACTGGTGGCAAGGCTGGTCCGCCCATCACACCCCCCATCCGGCACCCACTGGCAGGGTCTTGTCTTACCTCCACATGCGTCTGTGAGCATCCACGCTGGCGGCCAAAACATGCCGGGACTCCACCATTAACATGAATGCCATGTTACCCCTGAGCAGGAGTAGTCAAATCTCGGGCAAAGGAATTTCAGTTAGAAAAGAAAATCCCACTTAAAATGCCAGCTACAGATAACTTAAAGCCATCCCTTTTTTCCAAAGGGCACACTGAGAATGTTACCCATTTGTAAATTGTTCCCTATGTCCTTGTTTAAACAACCACAACAAAAAGGGCAACTCAATTTGTTGAGGGTCTGTGTGTTCTTAAACAAGAAATAAAATTGGAAATGTTTAAATTGAGGAAGATAAGCTTCATAATGCTACACTCATGGGCTTCTTTTCACTCTGTTGTAGACACGTTGATAGAACACATGGTCCATATATATTTAAAAAAAAAACCCTCGCTGCTGCTGTACAAAGTTGCCTACTGTACATGTCAATTGTTTAGTCCCTAGGTTGCCTTTCCGTGGAGTGTGTGGTTCAGAAAAGGGGGGCCGTGACCTCAGATCGTTGCTCCGGTTTCTGTAGTCTTCAGGCCGAGGGACCTGTCTCTTCAGGGAGCCCCTCTCTATAAAACATTATATTATATGGAATGGCTTGGTCAACTGTGTTCAGTTATTAAATGTTTTACATTTTTATCTGCCTGTTATAAAGATGAACAAAAAATATCTTAATGAGGAAGACCACAGATGCATAATAATTTCAAGTCTGTCGTTGAATTTCCTAATTAAAGAATAGACCAAAATTTCTGTGTATAAAAAAATGAAAGGCTCCTACAATCCTGGTCTGGGTAACGTGTGTGATTTATTATTTGGTGAATTCTCATCTGGAACAAAAGGAAGGTGTCTTCGTCTGCTTCACCGAGCTAGGCCAAGCCCTGGGAGGAGTGGAGTTCCCCTGAGCATAGCTTCCTGTCTGCCTTTCTGATCCTTATGGAAGGGACTCGCCCGTCCCGTGGGATCAAAGGCACTCCTGGCAGAGGTTTGCAGGGTGGTCCTCTAACTGTCTGGACCTGGAAGGGCCTGGCCTGAATGTCCCCCCGGCATGTCCTCAGAGGAGGGTGTGGGCCGGGGACCAGAGATAATCGCGACGATTCAATGCCAGCAAACCAACTCAAATGGCAGAACCTGACACACAGGTAGACTGCCTCTTCTTTTTATTGTGGTAAAATATACACAGCATAAAAGTTACCATCTTAACCATTTTAACCGGTCCAGCAGCATTAAGCACATTCACATTGCTGTGTGACATCCCCACCATCCATCCCCGGAACTTTTTCATCTTCCCAAACTGAAATCTGTCCCCATTAGACACTAACTCCCCATCCCCCGGTCCCTGGCACCAACCATCCTACTTTCTGATGAGTTTGACTCCTCCGGAAAACTCCCAGAATGGAATCATATTTGTCCTTCTTTGACTGGCTTATTTCACTCAGCATAACGTCCTCAAGGTTCGTCCATGCGGAAAAAGGTGGAGACAGAATTGCCTACCTTTTTAAGACCGAATGACATCCTATAGCAGGGGTAGACAGCGTTTGTTAAGCCATTCATCCATCAGTGGACCTGTGGGTTGCGTCCAGCTTTTGGCCACTGTGAGCGCTGCTGCTGTGAACACACATGTAGAAATATCTGTTTGAGTCTCTGCGTTCAGCCGGTTTGGGTACATACCCAGAGTTGGAATTGAGGGATCATACGGTAACACTATGCTTACATTTTTGAGGGACTGTCAAACTGTTTACCACAGCACCTGCACCTTTTATATCCAGACACCCTCCCCCACCCCCCGCCCACCCCCACCAAGCAGTGCCCAAGGCTTACAATCAGAGACTTCTTCTTTAACCCAAAGCCATGGGAAGAAAACCCATTATTTTACTCATTCGCTTGCACCATGGGTCATTCTCCCATTCATTCCTTCAGTTACCAGGTGTCTTTGAACACCCGTGCGAGGGGACATCTGCGGTCTGTGGCCCGCCCCCTCTGCTTCACCAACAGAGCCACAGATTCAGCTCTGGCCCGACACTTGCAAGTGACTACCGCAGTGATGGCTCCTAGACCATCCGCATCTCATTTCCTCATATTTCTGTTTCTCCACTCTGCGCATTGCCCTTTTAGACTTGGCAGTGCCAGAGGATGCATTTTCCAGGGAGGGTGCCAAGAAAGGAGAAAAACGGCTTCTCAGTTCCCTCCCAACCAACAGAACCTATGCTTTTTAAAAAGACAAATAGCTAAAAACAGCACTTACTTCTTCATCGATGTGCAAGTCCACCTCAAACCATAAAGCTATGTAAGTCTAGATTAGGCTAAATGCCATATCAAGATAGCACCTTATGGAGCGATGTTGTGCTCCCCCAGAATGGTTTCATTTGTGTTTGTGGATTCCCTTTCCCACTGATTCACAGTGTCAAATGTGACATGGGGAAAACCTGGTACTTAGCCAAATGACTTGGGGCAAGGAAACACTACAAAAACTCATCCCTCCACAAAGCCAACACCATCTTCGTCACCCCCTGGGTCACTGCCCCCTGGGAGCAAGGGTACACATGGTACTCTAGGGAAGGCCCGTGTAGGAGTTTCCTGGTACTGCTGTAACGAAGATCCACAAACTGGGGGGCTTCCAACAAAAAACATTAATCCTGTCACAGTTCTGGAAGCCAGAGGTCTGAAATCAAGAAGTAAATAGGGCCATGCTTCCTCCAAGGCCCTAGGGGAGAGACCTTCCTTGTTTCTTCCAGCTTCTGCTCATGGTCGGCAATCCTTGGCCTTCCTTGGCTCATGGCCGTATCACTTGTCCTTGAGTCTGTTGTCACATGGTCTTCTCCCTCCATGCACATCTTTTCTCTTCTTCTAAGGAGGCCAGTCCTGTTGCATTAGGGTCCCCCACTCCTGAAGGATCTCTTATCACCTTGACAACATCTGCAAAGACACTGTTTCCAAATAAGGTCCCGTTTTCAGGAGGTTAGGATGTGAACACCTCTTCTGGGGGACACCATTCACTCCATCACAGCTGAAAAGGAAGAGATGGGCCAAGTCCCTCATAGGACCTAGTTTGCCCTCGTCCTTCTACCAGGTTGACATGCTGAGTGAGGCTCAGCCATCTATCACTTTACAGTGATTAAGATGTGCTCTAGCCCTGGCTGGTGTGCCTCCATGGATTGAGCACCGGCCTGTGAACCAAAAGGTCGCCGGCTCGATTTCCAGTCAGGGCACATGCCTGGGTTGCAGGCCAGGTCCCCAGTAGGAGGCGTGAGAGAGGCAACCAATCAATGTTTCTCTCACACATCATGTTTCTCTCCCTTTCTCACTCTTTTCCCCCTCTCTCTAAAATTAATTAAAATCTTTTTTAAAAGACTCTTTAAAGCTCTTTAAAAAAAAAAAACATGCTCTAGACAAAAAAGCTGCTGGAAGCTTCAGGTTCCAGGAAACCTTCTAGATCTCTCATTGCTGACCTCTATGAACCTAATATAAAGGAGATGGGAGGTTGTATATCCTCCATCCCCATTATTATTTTTTTTTTTACAAAAGCCTCAGTAATAGGAAGCTGAAATGAACAACAACAAAAAAAAGCCACTTTGTACCACTGACTTTAATTTATATCCTATGGCTGAGTGTCCTTACAAAGCAGGGCTGGCATGTCACATATCCCCAGACCGTGTCACATACATCCCAATACCTTCCCGTCATCTCTCTTCCAATGACAACACACACTGAAGGTGCAACTCCCAGCCCCAGCCACATCAGGAAAATACAGAGTGGTGAACACTGAGATGACAGGCCCAGAGGCCAGTACTCAAAGCCAGCAAGTCCCCAGGACAGTGTGACAGGTACACGTGCAGGTCAAGGGACTTTGTTTTTGGTTTTTCCTTCTTCCTTTTGCTTTCTCCTCCCTCTTTTTTTTTTCCAAGGGATTTTAAAATAGCAATCACAGTCTGAGATGGTTGCGTCCAACCTGCTCAATTTATAAAGTGGGAAACTGAGTCCCATATAGAGAAAGCCATTTGCTGATGCTCGGTCATCAGAAAAGGAAATCTAGACCCACAAAATCTGCAGAGACTGCATTAGCCCCTGCCACCCAGAGCTTTCCAGGCCGTGCTTTCCTGGTTCAGTACGGTAGCTGTCAGTGGGGAGCAGGGATGCTCACCGAATCCTTAGCGAGCTTTACTCAGCCATCCCCCCTTGGTCCTGATCTGGCGCGGGGCAGGGTGCGGCAAGGGGACAAACTGGAACAGGCACAGTTGGAGGGCCCTCCCATGCAGAGCAGTGGGTTCTGCCTTCTGAGAGTTGAGAACGTGGCCTCCCATCAAGTGCATGGGGCAAGTGCCTCGTTGGAGGCTAACCCTAAGGACAGCCAAAGAAATGGAAGCTTCTCTAGGAGCTTGTGACCCTGTCAGGGCAGAGACAATGAGAGAATTCAAAAGCGAAACACCCATCTCTTAGTTCCATTCAAATCAATGGTAAACGCTGGCTGGGGGCGGTGACCTGTCAGCACAACACAGGCAAGGCCTAGGGGGCCAGAGGGTCAGGGGCGCCCGCGCCCAGTTTTCGGGGAAGAAGGGCATGACGGAGGGAAGGTGCTTTTTAAACAGCAGAAGGCGGAAAGGACTGGCAAGAGCACCGAAGCTGTCCTCAGAGGCCTGCCGGGCTGGGCCCCAAGCCCTGGGTCCTGAACCTGGGCGCCGCTGACCCTGTCCTCAAAGCGCTCCCAGTGAAGCTGGGTGTACAGATATGAGAAGGACACAGTGGAAAAGGGGACATTTACGTGGAGCCCTCACCCTGAAGGGAAATAGCACAGTCACTTTGTAAACTCGAGCAGGCGCTCGACTTATCATGAGCGTGACCCCTCCTTGTGCCCCCAACCAGGGACGAGTGCTCCGAAGCACCCTCAGGGCCTCCAGGTGTTCCGGCCACCCCCCACAGCCGTGGGCGCCACAGGGCGTGGCAGCCAGTGTTCACAGCCCACACTCCCCTGGTAACCACCTCCCAAATCAAAGGAAGTACTTGGGACAGGCCCCCAGACGCTAAGCTATCATGTGTTGACAGGCCGGCCCCACCAGCGTGCCTTGAGCCCAGTGGGGGTTCCCAGGGAGAACAATCCGGGCTGCTCTGTCTCTCTTACGCACCCTAGAGCAGTCCTTCATGAAGTACCTTTTGAGTGGGAGTTGCGGACGGCAGTGCCACGACTCTGAGAGTCTCTAGATTTCCAATTTAGACTCGGTATCTCAACATTGAAAATTTATGACGTCCACCCTGGCCGGTGGCTCAGTTCGATAGTGTCATGTGGGTGCACCAAGGTTGGAAATTCCATCCCCAGTCAGGGCACATAGAAGAGTCAACCAATGAGTTGGTGGGGCAACAAACTGATTTCTCTCTCTCCACCGCCCCCTCCCCATCAATAAATAAAATGTTTTTAAACATGTATTACTTCCTACTTACATTTTGGTCAGATCTGGGTTTTTTGAACACAAGCCAACAATCCCTACCCCCCCTTTCCAAAAGTTATGTTCTCTCCCCCAAGCAGGATGATTGCCAAGCCGTGCGTATGTCCCAGTGGTGGAGGAGTGGCGACACATGGACTCTTTCAGAAGACACCGCCATGACACGGGCACACGCTGCGCCATCATGCTCTCCAGAACCGATGAAGGGCCTGCCCCAGAAACATCTCAGGAGCACAGGGGGCAATCCCATCTGGACAGCAGAGCATCTGAGGGGAACTCGAGTCTGGACAGAACCCATAAGCACCCCAGGGCAGCACTGGCTACAAAGCAAAGACAGGGTGTCTCTGTTGATTTGTTTCATCTTTTATTATACAAAATAAAACTTCATCTATGTTACACGTTCATACTTTCTATAAATCTGGCCTTTAAAAAAAATCCCCAAGAGTACAGTGCCATCCGCTCTTTGATTTTCCTTCCAATAACTCCAAATCTCAACCGCAGTCTGCATCCTCTCAAAGGACAAAAGCAGACACAGACGCCTTAGAGCCGCCCCACATAGCGCGCTCCTGCTCCCGTCACTGTTGGGACCGTGGCTGCTGGGGACAGTCAAAGCACTAGAATCAAACTGGCAGCGTGTCATCACCTTCACCAGCCCATCTCCAGCAGCACAAAACCAGTTCTCCCAGCCAGTCCTCTGGGGACTGGCCGTCACGGCGATGTGGTGGCGCCATCCCCTGGCAGCCGAGCATCCCAGGCTTCTCTTTGGGCAGGCCTGGACCAGGACCTTAGGGGATCTCTGTGTCCATGGTATAAATCTGAATGAGATCAGACACAATGTTATCAATGGTTGGCTTGGTAAGGTCGTCACTAAACACCTAGAAAGGAGAAGGAAAACAGGTTCCAATTAGACTCCCTCTGCGTTACACAAGGCTCCTGCCACTAAGTGCAGAGTCACACTGCGTGGGGACGAATGGCATGAAGACTTCACTACTGGAAATGATAATGGCCCTCCGCAACACCGGTTCAGTTCCAGCCTGCCAAGGTTGATCACAAAGCAGAGGACATTCCAGACGGAAGAGGCCTGGGGGATCATCTGCCCCAGACAGGAGAGCGGACTTGTCTTGGGTTACACAGGGAGTTGGTAACAGAGCTGGGCCAAGAGCACAGGCTCCTGCCTCCCCTCAACCCCCACCTGGGCTCTCAGCTTGCAGATCTCTGGGGATCTTGGCAGAGAGGGGGGCAGGAATCTATTTCAAGAAATAAGCAGGCTAGATCACCTGGACCCCACCGCACCCTAGGCTGGCCGCTGGGGAACGCGTGGACCTGGCTCTAGAGCCTGGACGAAACATCCTCTTGACTGTGCCAGAGAGATTACAAAATTGTAAGATGAGTCCCCATGGGCCCAAACCAAGAGTGATGTGTAGCTCAGGGCTAACCCTGAATGTTCCCAAGGAAGGTCTGTCCCTTGCCTGGCTCCCGGGAGGGGACGTCTAGGCCCCTGGCACAAGGGCCCTGCCAGGCAGTCAATGCTGACAGAGTGCTTTCCGATGGGCGCTTGGACCGAGCACAGGAGCTTGACCTCCAGGGACTGGAGACTGAGTGACCGAGGTCAGCCACGTGGGTGCTCCCGGCCTGCAGGGCCGACCCCCAGGGAGTCCCTGGACACCACTGCTCAGGGGAGCTCCCCCGGTGGCAGCACTCTGTGCGTGTCGTCACACATCGCTGCTGAGAGACACTGTGCTGGCCGCACGACTGCACGCGCAGGGGGCCGGGAAGCTTGCGCCTGGTCTCTCCTAGACCCGCCCCATGTACATTCCTTTCACTGTAATTAACCATACCAACCATGACCACAAGTATAAAGGCTTTTCTGAGTTCTGTGAGTCCTCCTAGCCAGGCACTGAGCCTGGGGGTGTTCTTGGGGACCCCAGATGACATGGGAAGTAAAAAGTAAAACAAAGAGCCCCTGGTTGGATACTGTGCCCCGCCCCGGGGCCAGGGGGTTGCTGCCTGGGGAACCGAGGTGCCATGAGGGTCAGGCCTTGGGCTGAGCCAGGACAAAACCTGGACTTGAATCCACCCACTGCAAGGTCCTCATAGGGCCCTCCACAGGCTGCCACCTCAGCTGGGAAACAGTGACCTCAACATCCCGAGCGCTGGCTCAGGAAGATTGGCCATCTCACCCTGGACTCTGCGTGGAAAACAAATACCTCAGATATACAGGCTTGCTTGTCAGAGTCCACTACCTGTGTGCTCCTGGAGACCCCAAGCCGAGAAGTAACCATTAAAAAGTAGTTCAGGGCCAAAAACTGCAAGCAACCCAAGTGTCCCTCTCTGGAGGGCTGGACAAACACAATGTGGTCCATCCAGATCATGGAATAGCGTTCAGCCTTAAAGAGGACAGAAGTTCTCACACATACTACAACATACTACTGATTGACAGGCAGTGCGTCATGGACCCAGAGGCTTGACATGGCTTAGCACAAAGGCCCGCCGCGACTGGCACATTTAAGTGCTGGCCGGAAGCCTGTCAAGCTTTGCTAAGTCCCCTGACCAGCACAGTGGAGCCCCAGCCCACGACAAATGACAACAGAGAGACGGTTGCTGCAATAAGTGGCAGCAGAGAGCATGCAAGCAGGGAAAGAGTTTTGCAAATCAGACATAAGTGTTCCAGGGTCAGGCAGGCAGGACGTCACTGGGAGCTGGGCCCTCACAGCTCATGAGTTCAAACGGTGCCTGGATTCTGGACGCTCCCAGTGCAAAAGGCCTGGAGCCATCCAGAAAAGATGAAGAGCTGGGCGAACATGAGTGCGCCACCCCCCAAAGCAGCCACTTCTCCCCCACTGTTGTAAGAATTACTGGTTAAGTCAGCAGTGCCCAGAAAACAAGCTCATGGTGGAGCAGCTTCCTGGCGCTCTTATCCCGTGAGGGCTGACAGTGAGGCAGAGGCAGTACAGCGGTGCCCAGTGAAGTTCAGGAGCAAGTGACAAGAAGGCAGACACAGAGGAGAGCCGGCAGGGACAATGGGAAACAAGTGACAACACTGCAGATCCAAGCAGCCAAGCGACTGGGGCCCCCATGCCCACCGGATGCCCTCAGAAAGCAGGGACAGGAAGTGGCAGCTCCTCTGCCACCACCTGATTCCAACAGAGCAGGGACACCGCAGGCTCGTGATCTGGAACTCCCTGAGAAGCCCCACGGAGCGATAATTTCTGTCCACACAGATGCCCTTTCATCCCCTGCTGCTGTGGGGATTCATCTGGCCCAAGCCCAGGCTATGGATGCATTTATTCACATATGTGAGCACCTACCATGTGCCAGGTCTAGGCACTGGACATGGGGCAGTCGATCAAGCAGACAAGACCCCTGGCTTCCAGGCGCTTACAGTCTGGCGAGTTGCAGGGGCCGGGGGAGCGGTCCGACAGACAATAAAGGCCAGCAGAGCAAAGAGCAGAAAAAGCTGCGGTCTCCCGTGGAGAGTAAGCAGACCAAGGGAGGGAGTCTCCGGAAAGGGGGAGGCGCCACTTAAGCCAAGAGCTGCACAAGGGAGCAAGGAGCAGGCCCAGGAAGGCACCCATGGGGCACACTCCCTTCAGGGAAATAAATGACACAGAAGATTTCTGGCCACTGTGGATTTGTGGAGGAGGCGGGTGTACAAAAAGAAGAGACCTTCGGTTACCTCAAATTCTGCTTACAGAGAACCTCATTCTAGAACGAGGCCAGACAATGAGGTTTTGTGAAGAAAGGAACAGCAAACTTCAAGTACGGGAAAGAAAAAACAAAATGATCTCAAAATTCCATTTTGAAACAGTGGGACTACTCAGGGGAAAATCTGACCGGACCGCAGAGGTCCCTGAGCACCGCTCTTCTGGTCTACAGATTTCAACTTGCTCTCTACAAAGTGCACTTGGAATTCTGTAGGTCTGCGGGACATAGGGGAATCTATCAATCATCAGTCTCATCTCTCTCTCTTCACCTATTATCTACCTAATCTATTCATCCATCCATCTATCCATTTATCATCTATCTGCCTACCTACTTATCGTCTATGAAATAAACTCATTCATCCATCTCCTTTCTTCCTTCCTTCCTTCCTACCTACCTCCCTCCCTCCCTCCCTCTACCATCTACCTACCTATCTATCATCCATCCATCTTTTAAGAGCACCCCCTACACTTCTTGTGTGAAGCCAGGTTTATTAATCTCTGATCTATGACAAGCTCCCACTCAACTCATAAAAGTGCTTGCCTGAGCTCAGCAGGTCTCAGCTGGGAGGTGACTCCTACCCTGGGACACTTGGCAATATCAAGAGACATTTTTGGTTGTCATGACTACTGGGAAAGTTGCCCCTGGCTTTGAGTGGGTGCAGTGATGCTGCTCAATATCCTACAGTGCCCAGGATGCCCCGCCACAGAGAATGACTCCGCCCCAAGTGTCCACAATGCCAAGGAAGAGAATCCCTGCCTTAGACTTAGAAATTACAGCGTATTTTCAAGCTTCAATATTCCCAAGTAGCCCACATCTCTCTTATGGTTGCTTACTACAAAGAAACATGAATGCCCAGGTACAGAGACTTCTGAAGGTCCTTAGGCAGAGGAAAGGGGGACACGTGCCAGTGTACCGAGCAGTCACCTCACCTGCCACCATGGCTTCTCGGCCTCCGCTTCGGCAGGCACCTCAACCCCATATACCTGCAGGGCCAGGTGGAGCACTGCCACAGCTATGTGCTGAGCCCGGAACCGAAGGCACAGTCCCCCGTGGTAGCTGTCCCGCAGCAGGGCCCAGGCAGTGACAGAGATGGGGGTCCGCTGCCAGCTGTAACGATTCAGCCAGTTCTTGAGGGAAATCAGGTAGTGGAGCAGGTACTGCAAAGACACACCCAGTCTGTCAGCTGGCTTTCGGGGCTCTGGCCCCTGGTCACCTGCCTCCTCACTGTGAGGCACTGTGATTCCTCTGCCTGCCTGCCAGCCACTCTCCCATAAGCTGTCTCGATCTACATATAAAAACGCAGATTAGATCCAGTCACCTCCTGTTCAAACTCTCCAGTGGTGCCCTGTATCGCTTAGAAAAAAGCCCCAGGGCCTTCCACGGGCCCCCCAGCCCAGCCTCCCTCTCAGCCTCATTGCCCACTCCCCACTCCCCCGCTGCGTTCAATTGCACCAGGTCCGCTCCTCCTCAGGGCCCTGGCACTCACCCCTCCACCTGAAATCATGTCCACTCCTGACCCAATCCCTACGTGCTCACCTCCTCTCGTCCTCCAGACCCAGCTCCTGAACCCTACCCGGGCCACTCTTGATGGCCACCCCCATGGAAATCCCTCTCCATCACACGGTCCTGCTCTGGCCACGGTCGGCAATCACTCTGCCCATCCCCTTGCCCCACTCAAACATAAGCTCCAGCAACAGCGTCCTTATCTAAAGAATAGAGCACAGCATCCGTATGCCCAGGCTGAGGCTAGGGAGCAGCCGGTGGCAGGACGCCCGCTTTCAGGAGAATTAGAGACAGGTGACTGCATTTTGCAATAGTACTGATGGCTGTAAACACTTCATGAAGGACCTTCCAGCTCAGCTATCTGTCCGGGAAGACAGCTGCTTTGCCTGAATCTCCTGATCAACTGAGCACGCCAGTAAGCCTGCTTAACAGGTGTGAACACTTGTGCGCGGAGCTCCAGCACATGTGGAGGACGGATTTGCCCGCCGCTCTATGCCTGCTGTAACCCCTGCAGAAGGGCAAGGCCGCAGCTCGCGGTCCCACTGGGCCCCCCTCCCAGTGTGCACTGTTCTCCCCCAGACTCTGCTCCGAGATTGCCCCCCGGAGCCAGGGCCCTCCCGCCTTGCCCCTGCATCAGGCCAGCACAGGAAAGCACAACCGTTTCAAAATCACCTTCAAAATCTCTGCCAGGGGTTTCCAGGAGGAGGTCGGTGGTTTGCAACAGAGGGGTGAGATTATGAAAAGGGGAACAGGAGGGACCCCTGTGGTGATGGACTTATTTTACATCTAACTGAGACGGTGGGTACATGATACACAAGCCATAAAATTATCCTGTATAGCACTAGGGCAGTGTAAGTAATGACCAAGTTAACACCATGAACCAGGGGCACTGCAGCAATGCCCACACCCCAGCTGCTATGTTGTATTAATTTTTCAAAACGTTTCCATTCAGGGAAACCGGGCACAGTCTCTATCTTAAGTGGGATGTCTGTGTTATTTCCCCCCACTGCTTGTAAATCTACACTTCCTTCAGTAAAAATTCAGTCAAAAAGAAGCGAAATCCTGGCAGAGAGCCTCATGACCTCCCCCAGCCCCCGCAGGCCACAATTTCCAAGTGCCTTAGGGTTTAATGTGTTCCTTTTGCTGCTGTTTCAAACAGTGTTTCTGTTGGGACTTACGCGTTCCTAGCAGTCAAAAGTGTGCTACTTAACTCAAGTGACCTGGCTTTTCTCATGGGTTTCTAATTCCAAGCAAAACCGAACTAGATGTGGGCTCCGAGGCACAACAGCAACTCTCAGGGACAGAAACTCTGGCAGGTCACGAAACCAGCCGTTTCCCCATGGCTCACTGAGCACACAATCTATGTGGGTCACAGGATCTGCAAGGGCTTCAGGGCGTCACATGGATCCCAATTTGTGGCCACAGCTGAGCAGGCAGAAAGGCAGAACCTGAGAAACCTCCACGAGTGGGACAGGAGACGCCACCTGAGCCAGTCACTGTGCGCCACTGGGAGCCCTGGTTGCCCAGATGTGACCCTGTTCTTCTATGTCCCCCACGTGCTCTCAAGGATCAGATGGGTACACTTTTGGTATAAAGAACAAAGAGGTTCATACCTTGTGTGGGTGTTGAAAGGAGACTTGGAAACGCAGCACCCTCAGCACAAGGAGCTCGCACTGCACGATGCTGTCCCGGAGCACCCAGAATCGGGAGTCCAGCTCCAAGGGCTCGCTGCCTGGGTGGAAGTACCTGCACAGAGAAATGGCAATGCTTACGGCAGCCAGAGAAGTGGCCCTGAGGAGCCCCCGAAGTCACATAATGTCCAGATATAAATGCCAATGTCTTCTGCCATATGACTAACAGTGTCATTCTACTTTTTTAAAAATCCTCACCAAGGATATGTTCGTTGATTTGGGAGGGGAAGAGGGGGGAGAGAGGGAAGGAGAGAGAGAGAGAGGGAGGGAGAGGAACGGAGGGGGAGGGAGAGGATGAGAATGTGAAACATCAGTCGGTTGCCTCCTGCACGCACCCTGACTGGGCATCGATCCTGCAACCTTTTGGAGTACAGGACCACACCCCAACCGAGCAACCCAGCCAGGGCTCTATGTGCGCTTTTATAAATCAATCCTCATCTATATGTCTAGTGTACAGGATAAAGAGAGTAACCAACAGAGGAAAGAAGCCAACTTCTAGTTTTAGTCCCATATCACTCAGCAAGATGTCAAGGGTAAAGACAGGTTCTTTGCAACTGCTCCACAGGAACTGGGAGCTCTAGCAGGCCAAGGCGGCTGTGTTTCCTGTTACAGCCAGCCTGGCATCAGGGACAGTTTTTAACACCTGGGATGGCAATGCCCAGGGTTCTCACTCTGGGCACAGGGAAGGTCTTTAAACATCACGGGGATGATGTATTCGGAAGAGTAAATGTATTTTGGCTTAATATTTCCCAGATTGTCTTTCCTCCTTTCCAGATCATTCTGTCCTTTTTTTTTACACCATATATGTCTGCAGCACTCTCACCTATGCAGGATCTCCAACCAAGATGTACAAGAACAGGATTCACACTCAGGTAATCAAAACTCGCTGCTGATGACTCATCCTTCCTAGCTCCTCACTCGTTTTCCAATTCCCACAGAACCCCACCTGGGGCCCCGTGTCTAATTAGTGATCCATGCAATTTCCCCTTCCGTCAGTCCTCCCTGCTGGGGATCTGGCAATTACGGGTGGGCTCCAGTCACCCTTCACTTCCCTCTCCTATTTTACTCTTAGTCTTTGAGGTACACCATGAACCTGTCATGCTTTTAGGGGGCTGGGGAGTGCTTTTTCTGTTACCTGTTGATTAAAAGAGAAACAGCACAAAATAGTTTTCTTTCCTAATGATTAGAGTTCCTGGAAAGGCTACGATGCACCGCTAGTCAGTAACTTTCCATAAATCACTTTCCCGCAGGCCTCAACACAGGCTGCCGGGCCGGCTGGACGCCTACACCCTTCCCCAACAGGAACACAGCTCCTTGGGCCCCGGGGTGCCGCCCACTGACCACCGTGCCAACACCAGAGCCAGAGAAGCTCCTTAGCAACTCTGACTGGGTTTCTCTCCCCATCTAAATAAGATGATCGCCAAGCTGGGTCCACACCCTCCCCTATATGACGGGCTGACCTGTGGTGCCCACAGAACCCAACTGGTTCGTTCTGTCCTGTCCAAGACTCCAGATGAATCTCCTTCAACATATCCCTCCAAGCTCCCTCTACTCCAGCCACACACCCCTCCCTCCCAACACCGTGACACCAGGGACTTCTTCAAACCCACCCCTCCCCACTCTACCTGGCCTTTGAAGCTTCCCATAATCTGGTCCAAGCTTCTTCCGCACAGATTCCCCGCTCCATGCTTCTGATACCTGGCTCATTCCCACCTCTGCTGCTAGTGCTTCCAGCCCTGGTTCAAGGTCACCCAGGGGCTTCCTTCTAAGCTTGACTGCTGGCACCTGGAAGGCAGGGCACAGTGGGGCCCTTCTCTGCCCTCCCATTCGGGTGGACACCAGGAAGTCTTTCCAAATGCCTGGGCCAGGATGCTGTTACCTGTTGGACACATTGATGATGTCACGAGTGCGCAGGTGCTGCTCTTCCACTTTGCCAGCCAAGTAAAGGGAAGACATGGCGATTAAGTAGGGGTCATAGGCATCCACGTTGATCTCGCAGAAGAACTTATGGTAAATGGCACAGGCGGTGGCAATAGGAATGGACTGCATCCCTAGCTTGACACCTACCAAGAGAAAGCAGGCAAGAGGTAACTCAACCCATGCTCATCCCCTCCTCAACTGTGAGGAGACCTGCTGGGTTGGGCCCAAAGGGTGCACACCCCTGCTCAGACCAGACCAAGAGCTTGGAGCCTAGCCAGCCCTGACTACTGGGTCTTCCACCAAGTGCTCTACCTGCCTGCATGAAGGGTTTAGAGAAAGCCTTTTTAGACTCTGATGGCCTAACAAGCCCCTATGGCTTGTGCTTAAGTACTTCAATCGCTCTGCATAGTCTCTTCCTCTACCAAGCCCCCAGGTTACACCCAAGCTACAGATCTGCAGACCCCACTAGGTGAAGCAAGGCTTTAGAGTACCAACCAGTTAGCACCTGGCATCTCAGCTTCCATACAGCTCAGAAAGGACCACACACTGGTGTGTGTCTGCTTCCACCTTAACAAGCATTTAACTAGAGATCACCACCACTGCCCCTCAGCTCACCTAACCAAAATCCTGCCAGGAAGACGGGAGCAAAAAAAGCTCTCTGAGCATCAAACAGATACCACAAATCCTGAGGTTACGGTTAAAGATTATACTCAGCACTGGTTTCCTAGTCTTGCAGGTTGGAAAAGGCAAGCAGAGTACCTGCCAAAGGCAACTGCAGGCAGAGCAGGAGAGAAGCCACAGCCAGGCCCCAGGGAAAGACTCACACTCTGAAAAGTGAACAGAACTCAAAAACCAGAGGACAGTGGTTTGATTTAGGGATTAAAGCCCATCCCCGACTCCAACCTGAGAGAGCTCCTAAGGAAATCACTGCAATGGGTCGCAGAACCCACATGAATTCACAATGACCAGGATTAACAAGGTAAGGTTAAATGATACCCAATAAACTGAAAAAATGGGATAGAGAACAAACCAACGATCATTAGGATCACCTTCAATATCTCCTCCATAAGGTGTATTAGTTCCCTAGGGCTACATTAACAACTTACCACAAACTTGGGGGCTAAAAACAACAACCATTTTTTTTCTATCATAATCCTGGTAGTCAGAAATCCAGAATGAGTCTTAGGGGGCTAAGCTCAAGGTGCTTGGCAGGGCTGGTTTCTTCTGGGGGCTCCAGAGGAGAATCTGTTTCCTTGCCCTTTTTAGCGTCTAGAGACACTAGCAGCCTTTAGCTCATGGCCCCTTCCTCTGTCTTCAAAGCCAGCAGTACAGCATCTTCTAAGCCTGCTTCCATCATCACATGGCCTCCCCCTCTGCCTGTCCCTCCTCCTGCCCCCCTCTTTGAGGACAAATATGATTACTGTATCTGGCTGTGTATAATGTGCTCCCGTGTGTAATGTGCACCCATGTTTTTAGGCCAAACTTTCAGGATTAAAAAAAAAAAATCTTTCATTTTAATTTTTAATTCAATTATTTACTTATTTATATTTAGATACTTTTTTTGTATTATAAAGGAATTTTAGCACTTATTTTTAAACATGTTGTGGTATAAAAAAATTTATGTAATCATTAAAAGAATTAAAAACGTTTATATAGACACAAAATTAGTACTACCCATGCGTCATGCACATCCTTATTTTCCCCTCAAAAATTTGGGCAAAGAAGTGTGCATTATACACAGCAAAATATAGGTATGTCAGGCCCACTGGATAATCTAGGATAGTTCCCCCACAGCAACATGCTTAAATCCATTTGTCAAATCTCTTCTGCTACGTACAGGTTCCAAGGCTGAGAATGTTGACATCTCTACCAGTATTCAGCCTTGCAAAGAGGGCAAAAGCATTCGCAATAAGTTTGACAAAGAAGCCCTTCAAAAGTGATACCTAAAGACCTTTTAGCATTTCAAAGTTTAAGCTCCAGTTGTTACATCAAGAGTTCCTACATGGGGCCCCTCATTCCCAGAGATGTCGATAAGGTGGTCTCCCACCAAGTCTTTATTTCATACAGCAAACCCTCAAAGGGCTGCATGCTTCCCTGGTTTACATGGACCCTTGGAGCAGATGGATGGAGCATTTGAAGGGACACTGCCGTCCTTTCTGATACACTTTGCAACTCTTGGAAATATTATGATCCCGCCCTGGCTGGTGTGGCTCAAGTGCTTTGAGCGCTGGCCTGCGAACCAAAGGGTGGCTGGCTGATTCCCAGTCAGGGCGCATGCCTGGGTTGCGGGCCAGGTCCCCAGTAGGGGGCGCACGAGAGGCAACCACACGTTGATCTTTCTCATCTTTCTCGCTCTTTTTCCCCCTCTCTAAAAATACATAAATCTTAAAAAAAAAAAAAGAAACATTATGGTCCTGCATCATTTCCGCAAACCCTCTGCTCCCCTTGACTTGAAAGCAGACTCATTCAAACCCTCTCCCTCGAAGTGCGCACAAAGAAAGTAACTAACTGTCCCTCAGCTGATTATGATACTTAAAAGACGGTAATGTTTTTACAGGAATCCGACTGGTTTCATTTCCTGCCTTGGAGCCAGGGGCGCCCAAAACCACTGTGGACTCCCTGGCAGGGTTCAAAACGCCAGATGCACACAGAGACCTCGGTGTGATAGGGCGTCTCCAACAAGTCTCGTCCTGAACCTCACCAAGGGCGTGCTTCAAAAGGCTCCATGATCCCTGGCTGGTGTGGCTCGGTGGATTGAATGCCAGCCTAAGGACCGAGAGATCACTGGTTTGGTTCCCAGTCGGGGCACATGCCTTGGCCGCAGGTTCAGTTCCCGTCCGGGGCACGTGCAACCGATCGATGCTTCTCTCTCGCTTTCTCCCTCCCTTCCTGCTTCTCTAAAATAAATAAATAAAATCTTTTTTTAAAGAAAAGGCTCCATGAGACCAAGTGCCATACAGTGTTCTACAGGCTAGGATAGCCGTGGCAAAAGGCACGGTACACTCAACCCAGCTGCGGGAGCCGACTTGGCCTCCTTCTAGCTAGAGCCAGCTCCTTTCCATACCCTCTCTTTGGGCCTGCGCGCCGGAGAAATGACAATGACCGCGTCTGCCTCGCAGCTCGTACCCTAGTACACAGGGTGTGGGGAAAGGCAGAGGCTCTTCCCTCCACCTAGCCGTGCCAGCTCTGCGTCGTTTCGGTCCCCTCCTCTGGAAAGCAGCGCCCCGCAACGTTGGCCGCGGCTCGCAGGCCCGGCCCCACAAGGGCTGGCCAGGGCCGCCTCGGTTAAAGTGCAGCACCGCGGCCCTGGCCTCCATGTCCCGTTGGCTCAGGGCCCGGTCTCTTCCCGGCCACGGTTACCTGCCTCCATGATGAACCTCGTCACACGGAAGTGCACCCTTGCCTCAGGTGCAGCCCACCCCTGGGCTCCCCGCGCCGCATCTCCTCCTTCGCAGCTGTCCTGACCGACGCCCTCCATGGGACCCCGCCTGGAGGCCCCAGACCCCCCGGCCGTGAGGACCAGAGCCCCCAGACCGCGTGGCCGGCTCCGGGGGGTCCTAGCGGCGGGCGTGGCCGCCCTGCCCCGCCCCGCCCCGCCCCGCCCCAGCCGGCCCTCCACCCGCGTTCCCGCCCCCTACCCCGGGGGTGTGCGCGCGGCGGTACGCTGAAGGCGGACCGGATGAGCTGGAAGGCGCAGGCCCAGGCGCAGGCGCAGAGACCGATGCTGCCTGGCTGCTCACAGGCACACGTTGCTGCCCACCACGCCCCTCAGAGGCTTATTCCGGGCCTCCGGAATATGCCCGCCCCGCCCCTGGGAGTCGCTGGTCTCGCCCTGGACCGCGGGCCGCTCCGCTCTCAGATGCCTCTTACCCTGCCCTTAGGAACCTCGGGCCCCGCACTCGGAGCCCTACCCCTAAGCGCCCAGTCCCCGAAGGCCACATGCCCCACCTTAGGGAGCTCCATGCGCTGCCCCTCTTCCCGGAAGCCGGAACCTGTGGGGCTACTCTGCGAGGGTGCAGCAAGGCCAACCCCAGGCACCTGAGCTGGGAGGTCCCACTAAGGTGTCGCTCCGGGCTGGTGGCCCAGCGCAATATAGGACGGGGACAGTTGGCGGCATCTGCCAAGCCCTGGGCGAAAGGCACTTAACGGAAGTTCACATTGAGGCTTGCGCGGCTCCCAACAGGAGATGGCGTATGGTTCAGCGTCAGTGTGCGTAAAACCCGAATCCAGGTTTGCTGTAGTGCCCAGACATGCAGAAGAGCCCCGGAGGAAATGCTGTGCACAGAACGAGGGCATTAGAGGTGTTTGTTTCTGCATCACTTGGGGATCTGGTTACTGCTCGCCCGTCCAGCCCGGCACAGAGTAGGAACTTAAAAAATGTCTGCTGAATGAATATTCAACTCACAAAACCATCCCACGTTTTGTTAGTGTCTTGCACGAACAGGAAATTGTGCGTCAGGCATTAGAGATGTTTGCAGAGCTCCAAAGGGACTCACTCCCAAGCTCACTCAGGACATTCTGATATAGTTGAATAGGATTTGAGACAGCTAGAAGTTGAGAGCCAAATGCCACTGTTCCTAAGCCCTTCTGCCTGGGTGACTGCACCCTGGTGAGGATCCCACTGTCTCCGTCTTCCACCTACCCCCACCCACCCAGCCTTGATCCCCTTCCTCAGACCCCCACCTCCACCCAGCTCCTCCCAGTCTTCTCCCCACATCAGCTAGGTTAGTTTCCTCTGGCTGCTGAAACAAATGAGCATAAGCTGGGGGGGGGGGGGGCTTAAAACAACAGGGGTTTATTCTTTCCCAGTTCTGGAGGCCAGAAGTCTGAAATCAGGTGCCTGCAGAGCCGTGCTCCCTCCAAAAGCTCTAGGGGAGGACCCTTCCTTGCCTCTTCCAGCTTTTGGTAGCCCCAGGCATCCTTCGGCTTATGGTGTATCACTCCCATATCTACCTCCACCTTCACATAAGGACACTTATTGTATTGGAGCCCTACCAGGGTAATCCAAGATCATCTCATCTGAAGATCCTTAAATTCATTACATCCGCAAAGACCCTTTTGCCAAATAAGGTCACATTCACAGGTTCCAGGGATTAGAACGTGGACACACCTTTAGGGGCACCACTATTTAGCCTAACGCCAGAGTGAGCTTCCTAAAATGTGAGACTGAATGGGCCCTGCCCTGTCTAACACCCTCCCGGGCCCCTTCACCTGAGGAGAAAGCTTGAGGCTTTGGCCTGACCTGTCAGTCCTTGTGGAGTCACCCTGTCAACTGGCCAGCCTTGGGTCTCACCACTTTGACACTCACGGCAAGGGCCTAGCGCAGCTCCCTGAAGATATGGACTCCCAGCTGAGGGTCTTTGCACATGCTCCACCCAGTGAAGGAATTCCTGCCCCACATCCTTCACCCCAGCTCCCTCTGTCTGAGGCAAGGCTCAGGCCGTCTGGGCTGAGTGCCTGTGTGTGAGCACATGAAACCCATGTGTGCATGTGTGGAAGGGCTCAGGGCCCCCAGCTCCTGTGCTGCTGGCGCCTGTCATGCCTTGAGCACCGTGGCTGGTATCTGTCCTTGGGCCAGGAGCAGTGCTGAGACAGGAGACATTCAGAAAGGAGGAAACTCTGGAGGTGACCCAGGGCTAAGGTAAAGGACAACGATACAAGACGGAGACCCTGTTCTAAGACTGGTTGTTCCCACTTTCTGGAAAAGCACTGAATCATAGTGAATCTTGAGTGCACTTGTGCAGAAGATGCTACATGACCCCTGCTTCATTATAATAGCATTGTAACAAACTAACATTGTGCGACCCCCTTCCCCGGTGGCTAATAAAGAAAAATCATGGGAGATCACATGCTCAGTAGCTTTAAAATAATATAACTACTTGTACATGCACAATAAAACCTCACCAAAACTAGCCAGGAAATATCTGCCCTATAAGAATAGAATCCCTCCAGCCCCTGAGGTCAATCTCTGCTCAGAGTTGGCCTGCTCTCATGTTCTGTGGAGTGTACTATCGCTTAATAAATCTGCTTTGTCTCTTTCTGCTGTAAACTCTCTGTGTGTTCAGTTCAATTCTTTGTCCGCGATCACCAAGAACCTGATTACCTGTGCCTACCTGCAACAGCTTCACCCTCTTCCCAGCCCGAGGCTGAAACCCAAAGAGCCTGAAGCTCCCACCCAAAGGGGCTGTGGATCTTGGGGGATTGGGCCACTGCCTCCCAGCTTCCCACATCCATGCACACTCCACACGCTGTCTCACACACAAACCCCCGAGTGCATACACATCAGGTACTCCCACCACTGACAGAGAGGTGCACGTGGATACACACATGCACACTCCCACATTGTGTCCCTCTTTCCTCTGGCCCCTACCTGTCACCTCCTCACCCACTGTGTTGGCCAGTTAAACAGCGTGGCTCGAACTCCTTCCTCTCCCCTGGGCCTTTTGTGATGTGAAGAGTCTGGACTCAGCAAGTAATAGGTGCCTATGAATGTGAATTGAGGGAATGACTCAATGAACACATTAATTTTTAAAGCCCTGGGTCACAGGGCATACTCCTGGCAGGCAGCCTGGGTGCGGTGGTTGATAAATGAATAATTGACTAGCCACCAATTGAAACTAGCAAACCCCTGGGCAGCACCTCCTCTCCCACCAGCAAGCCACACCCAACAAGGGGACCCTCCCTTCTCTGAAATGTGGCATCCCCCCTTCTCTCCCCACCCCTTGGACCCTTGACCTCTCCCAGGGATCATCCCCAGGCCTGGCCCAGAGAAAATGGTCAATGAAGGTGGGATGGACAATCATATCAGAAGAGGATTCTACGGTATTATTTCCTTATCTAACACTTACTGCGCGCCTCGACCTGGAGTAAGCCACGAGCTCCTTCTTACTGGGTCTATCAGTGCCATCAGCTAACACGAGAGACGGGGGAGGGGCTCAGGCTGAAGCTCAAAGGAGGAAGAGAAGAGAGGAGAGGCATTTAAAGCTCAGAGGAAAGGCTGTGCCCAGGCAGGGTCCAAGGAAAGCCTGGGAGGCCTACAAAGACAGGGGATATCCAAAGTGCTCGGGCTGCCAGAGCCCTCCCCAGTGGCCTTCAGCAGGGGAGCAGTCAATAGAAGAGCAGCCTCAGCCAAGTCCAGTCCTGCCTCGTGTCCTTGGAACCTTCTTAATACCTAAGAACCAAGCTCCACTGTCACCCCATCTTTCCTACCTCTCCCCGTTTCCACCAGCACCTTCTGTGCCAGCGTGGGCAGCTGCTCAAGTCTCCTCCTCCCACCATCAGCAAACCCAGCAGCCTCACTCTAGATCGCCCTCCCTACCCCTGCCGCCCTCTGCCCACCCACCTTTCTTAACTCTACATCTCTGGAGCCATTTGTGAAAGGATCAGGTCAGCCCCATTTGCTATCGTGGCCCCATTTGCTATCGTGGCCCCATTTGCCGAGCAGGCCTCTGACCTTGTTGAACAGGACTGCCGTTTTACTCTTCTGAGCTTCTGTCGCCAGGACTGGAAATTACTGGAAAGCAAGAAAGAACTAACTGCTCCCTGCAGCCACAGGCGGAAGGTAACATTGGAACAGGCTGCAGCCTCGTGTTACAACGCCCCGACAGCCCAGGGGCCGCACAACAGCAAACCCCCCCCACCCCTTTGTAATCCGGTTATAATCCAATAAAAGCCCAAAGCCCCCACCCCTCAATGCTGCTCTGTCCGTCCACACCAAGCCCCTCTCCTTTCTGGGAGAGTGAATAAAACCTTTATTCTCTACGCGCTCTTCTCGTTGTGAATTCCTTCACAGCCCACGTCACCGACCACCCTAGCAATCTGCGTCCCTGGACCCGAAGGCCTCCTGCCCTGCTCTGCCCTCGGCCCCCCAAATCTGGCTCCTGATGCATGACACTGTTTCCCACCCCCACCGCCATCCTTATCCTAGACCATTTACGCAATATAACAAAATATCACAGGCTGGGTGGCTTATAAAAAACAGAAATTTATTTCTCATAGTTCTGGAGAATGAAAGTCCAAGATCAGGGTGCCAGCGTGGTGAAGTTCTGGTAAGTACCCTCTTCTGGGTTGCAGAAAGCAGTCTTCTCACTGTGTCGTCACACGGTGGAAGGGGCAAGGGCAAGGGATCTCTCTGGAATCTCACCATTCCTTTCTTGAGGGCTCTGCCCTCATAACCCAGTCACCTCCCAAAGGCCCCACCTCCTAATACCATCACCTTAAGGGCTAGGATTTCACCATATGAGTTTGGCGGGTGGGGGGACGACACACACACATTCAGACCATAGTACTGCCAAGGTCATGTGCCAGCTCCGAACTGCTTCCGCCCAGCAACGTTCATTGCAATTGACCACTCTGCAATAGGCTGTCTCCGAACTGTGGTGTCTGACTGCTGACAACCGTGAAGCCTCATCCCCCCTGTCCCCCTTGAGCCCACGTCTGGGCAAGCCTGGGTACTCCCTCCTCTTGGTGCTGAAAGGGAGGTCCAACCACATGGGAACCCTCACCCCGGCCCCAGCCACAACCATGACAAAGAACCCCACCTGTCTCCCTTCCATGACCTCTCAAGCTA